GAACTTGACTTTTTACAACCATCATCTGGTCAGCTGGTCGGTAACAAGACTCCAAAGATCCATGCCTCTTGGAGGGGCAGTCTTATTTTTTACAGGCGCTTAAATGACAATTCCTCACTGCCATAGTTTCCAATTGCCGGATCTGCTTGCCATCGTTGGATCTCTCGAATTACGCACCAACCCTCATTGCCGTTTTGTAACAGATGGCTATGAGAATTGGATATCCAAAGAACCGGACATGCTCACCGTGAATGAGCTGATTTATCTTCGTTCTACGAAACTTGGGCTGTTGGCCGCCCTTTGCTTTCCTACCTGCGATGTACCGCAACTTCGAATTCTGACGGACTTTATCGTGACGATGTTTTACTCTGGAATGAGGGAGTGTGCTCCTGGATATTCCTCCGAATTGTCCAACCTGAAGAAGGAGGAACCGCGAGGACAATCTTCTACCGAGGAATCGCAAGAGCAAGAAAGTGCTGTTGATGTTCTGAAAAATCAGGAGCTATTCAAGCAGTTGCGTATGTTTTCTTTTTTCGTCCCTTCCCCAATTGTTAAATTTATTTCGAAGCCTTTTCGACGACCACTTCATCCATCTAATATCAAAAGCTTCGCCTTCATGGAACTTTCGCCTCTCACAGTCTGTTCAATCGTTCCAGGCGGCTCGGAACCGGTTCATGTTGAACCAATCAAAATCTGAGATACCCACATTGGAGGACTATATTGAGATGCGCAGAGAGCTCCATGGAATCACGATGAGCTTCGTTGTCGCTGAGTTACTGGAGGTATTTCAAGTCCCGGAGCTTCAAGGAGCCGGAGCGGAAACTCTAGAGAGTTTAAAGAGGTGTGCATTTGACATCATTGCTTGGTCAATGGTATATATCCCCCTCTTTCGTATATATCGGGTGTATTTTAACCTAATCAAAACTCAGGATGTGGTCTCGTACCGATTGGACCAATCAAGAGGGGTCACCCAAAATCTCGTTGCAATCCTCATGCTACACAAAAATCTTTCGGTACAGGGCGCCATGAATCTTTGTGGAAACATGGTTAAAGATTCCTTCATCTCGTTTTCTTCCTTTGAACGCGCTCTCCTCGCTCTCTTCGACCCCGACGGATCGCTGAAATTTCCAGTCTTTTCGTGGATGTGGAAATCGATTATGCCAGACGCAAGTTCAGTTGAAGAGGCAGAGACCATGTTGAAAATCGTGAAGCGCTATATACAAGCGCTCAAGGACTACATCATCGGGATAATCAATTGGGTGTACGAGACGGAGCTATTTTTCGGCAAAAGAGGAGGAGAGATCAGAGCATTCGGATGGGTCTTTGCAGATCAATCCCCCTAATTTCCGTTTGACTTAAAACTTGTCTTCTTTTTCCAGAAGTTCCAGAAGGTTCCACAGGATATTGTCACCGTTGAGTAGTAAAACTAGAGTTGCGCTAGACTACATATCGTCTGGATCAACATTCTAAAAAAAAGTCAACCAGGCAGGTAAAGTCAAGTTGGCAGGTCTTTGTTGGCCGGGCCGTGGACATGCAAAATTCGATTATTACGGGATTTCCTCCGCTATTGCATCGGCATTACTGCTGGGAAACGTCTGGAGATAAACAAAATGTTGCCTATTTTCTCTTGATGGTTGGAAGGTTGCGGCCATATGTTTTTTTCAGATTTTCAGGGACGCGTGTATCCCAAAATGGCGACGGCCATCACACAATGTCCGCAAAAATCTTCGCTTTGTTCTGAACCACCACCACGATGACTGACCTTACGGTGCTCGTTTCGCCATTACCCTTGTATCCAGAGACAAGGGATTTCACCTTTGGAAGGCGTACTTCCCGGCCTTTGAGCAAACCGATCATGGTCACTCTTGAAACGGAAATTGACGAGGCGGAGGAGGCTGACCAACGCAAGCCCCAAATCCTGCCTCCGCCAGTCGATACCGATTTTATTTCGCCCACGTCGCCTCCTAGGAGATCTCGTACACCAAGAGTCGTCGATTCTAACCTACTTTCCCCACCTGTCAACACTTGGAAATCAAGGCCGAGGCATCGGCCCACACGGTCGCAGAGTGCCCCTCCAGAACGAAGAATAGCAGCACCAGAGGTCAACGAAGACGAGAGGGAACCAGAATCCGCGACTTTCAATCACGAAGCTCTTGGTTTTGTTCCACGAAGTCCAACGAGGAGTTTTGCTGCGTTCAAGCTCGACAGGCAGACGACACGAGGTGGTGAACTCGTTCGCCCACCTCCTCCGCTTCGTAAGTTTATTTTGGTTGGAAAGCTCCGCCGTTGACGCCTCTCTCTAAATTGCTCCTTCAATACAGTTCGGCCGACTACATTTTGGCGAAAAACACGTCGATCAGGGGTCACTGGCGCGTCATATTCTCCAGCTTCTCATCTCATTCGTCGTTCCACCTATATTGCTGCGGGACTCGCGTTTGACGCCCCAGTACACGATCTCAGTGCTCTCTGCGTCGAAAGCAGAGTAGGATTCATCGTGATTCCTCCAGATCAATCATTACTATAACATTCATTTGAAAATATACCCCCGCCCCTTGGATGTATCGCCCAGCCGTTTATCTGATCTTGATCATCACGGCTCTTCTTGCTCAGGGCACGGGTGTCGGAGCCCTTTCGACGACGGTGCACGAACCCTCGCTTCCCACATCCACGCATGATACCCATGGGGGGCCGTTACGGCGACGAAGCTGTCTGCCGATGGCCACACACTCCACAACAAAATCGGCTAATTACGACTGTCAACGGCCTTCTCCGGCCAATGTAGTTATACCTTTAACGACCACCGCGTCCGGTTCGCCCGTTCCCACATTCACTGACCATGATAACGATCCATTACGGCGACAAATTCCGGTGACTGTCATCCCAACAACATCGTCGACAGATGATTTTTGGTGGCCGCTTCCTCCGGCCAATGTACCTACATCTACACGGACGACACCGCCTGGAACAATAGCTCCCATTTTGATATCCATTATTCCAGATGCGACGAGTCTTGGCTCGAATACATCATCCGTCACTCCTTCCGCATCTGGCTCATCATCATCGTCAACCCTTTTATCCTCTTCCAGCCATTCCCTTTCATCCGCATCGACATCAAGCTCCGCAAATGCGGTAAATGCTGTAACTTTCAGACCCATTGACCTCGTGCCTGCATTCGCCGTGGTTGGCGCGTTCATCATAGGTTTGGGTCTCTGGTTCCTCTACGGATGCTGCACTCGAAAACCTCGCGTCCGGGCAGACGAGAACGAACTCCTCTGTGGGCCTCGGTATGTGGGTATCGATGCAACCGCTTCTCGACGGCGAGACGTGGAAGAGCAAGGGCGAAACGACGATATGCTCTATATCCCAAGACACGGCAGTGGTCGAGGGGTGAGTGGGCAATTTCGAGCCTTTCGATGGCCGTCGTTCAGCGAACCCCCGGCATTCGATCGGACTACCGGCTTTCATGTGCCTGACGAGTACAAACGGGATGATGACGATCCTCTCACGTCCGTCTCACTTTTTGCTCCTGGGTTCAATGACAGAACTCGTTCAGGCAATACCACATCAAGGACTGCACCCCCGGAACCTTCTCGAGGAACCATCTCTCGTCAGTCGTCTGCTGCGGCGACTTCCATTGCGCTGCTCGATTTGTATGAGAGCGACGATGAGGAAACAGAAAGGAGGAAGGAGAAAGAGATACCTTGGGAGAGCTTGCGTCATAAGAGCATCAAGCGCAATATCATCGAGCAAGTCAAAAAGGAGAATAAATGGTTGGATTCCATTCGCAACACTTTCGCTGCGTCGAGCCGCCCCTCTGTCCGTGATGCTGCCCGTTTTGCCAGGATAGACCTTGATGAGATTCCGATTGTTGAAAGCTCTTCTGCTGGTCCCCTGGTGGAAGCGTCATCGACACCCGTCGGCAGGAGAAGAGGTCACGTACGCGCTGGTTCCGATATTTTTGTGGACGACGTTACCCCACGATCTGTGGATACTACAGCGCCTCTGCGCGTGCGGAATCCTTCGCTGAGGTCTGCCCAACAAAGCCAGGAAAGTGCTGATATGCCTCTCGTACCCACCAGCGCTGCTCGGCGTACCTTCGCTAAACTCAAAGACGAGGATGAGGCTAGGGACCGGTACACCCCACTGCCGGGTCGCCTCAACGAAGGTCGAAGTAGGAGCCGGGGTCGCAGTAGGAGTCGCAGTCAGAGTGCCAGCCCCGTCAAACAGATGTCTTCTCTTCCTGTCGCGCAGAGGAGCAACGCAACCGAGCTCGTACCAATAAGGAGAGACTTCCTTCCTCAAAGTCCATCGCAGCTCATGAGTCCCCCTCTCGAGAGTCAGATGTGTTTTACGCCGATACCGCCCGTCGCGCCCCCCGGAATGAGTACGAAGGTGCAAACTCCTAGATTGGTGCGACCTCGTTCTCACTCTCGTACTACATCCTCGAGTCCAACGAAGATTCCGGGCCCGAGTAGTGGGAAGAAGCTGCGCTCGTATAGTCCGCCTCTGCCTCCAGGAGAAGGTATCACGTCACCGTTTTCTGAGCACACCCGAGGTCGGTTGGTTAAGAAGCCGAAAGCGAGTGCTGCTGGTGCGAAGAAGAGGTCGGGGAAGATGCACAGTCGGACTGCAGCAGCGGATCGCTCGAGGGAGGGACGTGAAAGAGGTTCTGCTGCTGCGGAAAGCGATGATGCGATGAAGAAGGTCGATCAAATCATGGCGGCTGGCTGGAGTACGCGAGATGTACATCGTGCGGAAATGATGAGTCCTAGTGGATTCGGGAGCCATGTATGAAGGAAGGAAGGAAGTTGGGAGTTTCGGTTCCTTTTGTTCGTAGTACAGTAGCTTTGTACATAGTTGCCGTAATCTATGGGTCCGTTATTTTGGAAAACCTCAAATCCTCTCAAGAATTGCGATACTGTACTCTGGATTTGTTCTTCAATGTTGTTCCTTGAAATTCTCCTGTACGTTGGACAATCTCGCCGCGGTTGAACTTGCAAGGCAAGATGGCCGAGCGGTTAAGGCGTGTGACTCAAGCTTTCTGAGCTTACCTGCTTCGACAGGTTCATTCTCATCACAGTAATGTGGCGTGGGTTCAAGTCCCACTCTTGTCATCGCTTTTGCAATTCTTCCCCCGGGCAGGACCGCCCTTCAGTTTTTTTAAAATAAAGCGATTCGAGAGATTTGTTTTTGTCCGGGAATCTCCCGAAGTACCGCGGTCACGTGCTACCATGCGTGCCTTTAATTACGACGCGAGTACGCGCTCCTTTGTTCTCTTCTTCCCTTGCTCATTCCCAGTCGCCATATTTTCAATGGCAGAGCTTTCTGGTGCAGCACTTGGGCAGAAACCCCGCAAACTTCACCCAGGAGAGGCTTTGGGAATCATTCCAACCCGTGAGTCTTTTATGTGTGCCACGGCGGCCAACCTAATTCCTATACCCAACAGCTATCCCTCCGTCCAACAAGAAAACCAATCGATATAGGAAAGGGGAACTCGACATTGACTCCGTTGTCGCATACTTGACGCACTTACGCGAGTCGGACGACATGCCGAAGGAGATTCTGCGCGTACGCGGCCGTCTTCGTAATGCGTTTCCTGGGTTTCGCACAACAAAGAGCTCGATAAGAACAGCTTATAAAAGGGCAGGGTGGGATATCGGTGAACTTTCGCAGCTCACGAAGAAACAGGTGCGAGTTTGGCAGGGTTACTTTCCCAATTATTGACCGTCTCTTTCTTGATTCACAGAAAAGGGCGGCTAGAGAACTTGAGGCTTTAGAGTTTAACGAACGATCGGCACGCTAAAGCCTCAAAACGTCCTTTCTTGACTATAAGTTGTATGAACAAAATGTCTGCCTGAATTATTCTCCTTGATTCTTTGAAAGACATGGTTGTTGGTCAGTCTCGGCTATCCTCAATACGAAAGTCAAATTCGCGGTATGTTAACACGTTTTTCCAGGTTGAAGTGGCATTTAATGTCTGGTTCTTTACCCAGAACACAAGATACAAGGGGATTCGTTGTGCGACCTGGCTGGACTCTGAAGCCTTAAAGTCGCTGGGCGTCACATCAATTGGGCATCGACTCGCGATTCTCAAACATATATACCAGGTCAAGCTTGCTCACAACGTCCCAATAGAAGCGCACCAGTACGCTCCACCTTGTGAGCTCATATATCTTACCACCTTGCTGCCCGCGCACTCAAATTGGCCAGCCGAACCTCCTGGATGCGTAGAAAATATAAATTTGCAGATTCATTCGATTGTTCAAGACCAAGGTCTGTCTATATATATCCTATCTTAATATGTTAAAATGCGTTGACAGTATCGTAGCTCAGAGGCTTACGACCCTAGAGGAAAATAACTGGAATTTGAACAACACTTTACAGTCATTTATGGAAGAATTAGAAGTACTTCGTCCACCTTGGGGGCAACCTGTGAGTACTTCTTTTTTTCTTCTCTTTCTTTCATTTCTATGCATTCAAATCTGATGTTCAAATATTGATCAAAGGACGAGGTTTTATCGCTAACCCGGAGGCGGCTGCAAAAATCGCCTACCAAGGTGGATCCCCCTGAATCTCGCCCAAACCCATCGCCAAAGCAGATTGAACTTATTCCGAACTATTATTCAAATGCGGAGTCGCCAGAGGTACACCGACGCCGAGCGGAGTTTCTGCGCCTTCTCCAAAACGCAGAAGGAACGGGAGTTTGGATAACCTGAAGGGCTTCAAAATCGGTCTGGAGGATCCCATGTGGAAAGTTCTTCCAGCCGCTCTCAAGAAGTATCGCATCAACAATGAGGACTGGCAAAGTTATGCTATGCTCGTATGTTACGGGCCGTCGGGTATCTGTTCTCTTGATGCACATTTTCTTATGTTTGAATCACTGATGTGTGTTCTGCTAGGTAATCGAGTAGAGCGTTGTCTCACCTACGATGAAAAGCCCCTCCGGCTCTTCCAAAAGCTCGAGAATGCCAAAAAGGATCCCGTCTTCGCACTTAAACATATCAAAGATATTCGATCTCCAATAGCTGACGCAGGAACGTCGAGCCACTAGATGCCTTTCTGTCGAAACCTAATTAAAGAAGGAAAATACTCAGCGCTCAATATTGCTTTGCTTTCTGCCTTTGTCTGCCAATGCGACCGACTTATGATCTTCTCTATCGCCCAGCGTTCCTGCTTCCTGCTTACTTGTCTTCGTATGAGCCATACCGCCGCCAATTCTTGTCTTATTCCCTCCCATTCTCGGTGGTTTCGCGACATCCTAGTTTGTTACTGCAAATCGGGAGAAAAAAGAGGTCATCATCATCTTGGGCGAATGAGCCACCTTTCAAGTTTTCTTTGTATACTCTCGGTCCAAGCCCTGGTCCCAGCCAAGGCTAGGAAGTTTGCCCTCAGGCCGACATCCCTTGGGTCTCGCTTTCTGATACGAAAGAGGGAAGATCTTTGGCGAACGTCGGGTCTCATTGCTTGAACGGTGCCATCCGGAATACATTAACGGTGAAGACATCGGCCAATCTCCAGGGAAATTATTCTTCCCTTGGAAAAGCTTTCAGAATGGCGCCCTTGGGGATGGAAATCTTGAGAGTTTTACCTTACCTCCGGTCAGCTCGCGATTGGTTTAAATTTTGTTTATTGACGTTAGACGGCGAATAATATTCAGACATATTTATTTTCCTTCATTCGCCCTAATGGAATCTTTAATCTTCAGACTTCTCTCTCTGAGAAGAAGGCCGTCCGACAAACGAAAATATCTAGACGACGTTCAAGTCTCCCAAGTTATGGGCAGGTACAGAAATCTGGAGTTATGGTCGGGCATGCTTAGAAATTGAACCTGCCTTCGGGAGTGCAATCAAAAAATCCTTGACGGCCACTCAGACTATTGGCTGAGGACGCGCTCAGCCAAGGCTCCCGCCAAATTCCAATCATTAATCTAAGACTTGCAACCCTGTTGTGGGCATTGGGCAACTTCAACTTCTCCTGAGAAGAGACAAACATATCTCATACGGCTTTCTGTTTCTTGCTAGCTGACCCTCCCTTGTTCCCAACTTTTTTCGCCACCTTTCGCTTCTTAGCACAACCGTTGACCGCGCATCTGATCACATTTGTGTTGACCCCATCTTCATCCTCGTTGCCCGATTCATAATAAAGGACATCATCCTCGGCAGTCGTGTGTGGCGCAGTGAAGCAAAACTCGGTATCTGGACTGTCTTCCGAGTCGAAAGAGGTCCCACAGCAATTCAAAGTCGTAATCCCTTCATCATTACCTGTTTCGTACTCGGTGTTACCCTCATCGTCATGCTTGTTCTTGCAAGCACTAGAATGGTTCTTGTTCTCGGTGTATGTGAGGTGACAGCGTACGCAGTGCATTTTAACACCTGCTTGTGCGGACAGAGGTGCTAGAAGCTCCACGAGAGCCTCTATCTGGCTGTCGGACGCGGTTCCGAGGGACTCCAGAAGGCAGGCTTGAACCTTGGTGCCCGTTGAGGATTTGAGCAGGGTTTGGAGAGTTGATTTGGGGGTTGGCGACATTCTGTATAGAAAGGGTTGAGGATCAGAAGTCTTCCTAAGTCGCTGAGTCCTGCAAGCCGAAGTGCATACATACCTTGACAAGACGCGACGTGTTTAAGTTGTATGAACGCGGTCGCGTCGGGTGTCCGTGCACTTTACACGAACAAACAACCGTCGGTCCCTCGCACTTTGAATGACAAACTTTGATGATCTTTGCAACTTGGTTCAAGAGATATGTTTAAAAAAAAAATTATTGATTCCCCAACGTAAATATACCTCATTCCCATCGGAGTCGCGGAGGTCATTCCGGATGGAAATTTCCATGTATCGATTTTCACTTCAAATATTGTCTCCAGCAGCGGCCGTCAAATAATCCCTGGTTAACCCTACCGAGTTCTGTACATATTTAAAAGTTTGACCTGGAGTTGGCCATCAACTGGTTTTTGATATTCACCTCCTTTCTCTCTGATGAAAAGGTTCACTGCAAAGTTGGACGGCGCTGTGAGGCGTAGTGGGCGAATATCAAGCACATATCGCTCGCAATGCGGGGTAGTATGGAAACATGAACCGATTAGCTTCATACGGCTTTCTTTTTCTTACTAACTAACCATCCCTTATCCTTGACTTGTCTCGCCGCCTTCCGCTTCTTGGATGGCGGAGAGCATCCTTTGACCTCACACCTGATCGCATTTGGGTTGGCCCCGAATTCGTCGTCCTTATATTGACTGACTCATAATAAAGCACATCATCCACATCGTGCGTGGAAACAAAACTCCGTGTGCACCGTCTCCCCAGAGTACCCACAGCAATTCCAGTCAACACCGTCATTTCAGCGTGATCGACCTCGCAAGCCCCCGGATGGTTTTCGTTCTCGGTCTATGTGACACGGCAGCGTAAGCAATGCTTACCAACACCTGCTTGAGCAGACAGAGGTGATAGAAGAGCCGCGAGAGCCTTTAGTTGGGCATTGGAGGCGGTTCCGAGGGACTCGAGAAGGCATGCTCGAACCTGGGTGGCTGAGGAGGACTTGAGCAGAGTTTGGAGATTTGAACTGGGGGTTGACGGCATTCTGTAAGAGGGATTCCAGATCAGAAATCATTGAAAGTTGCTGCGACCAGCAAGTTGGCTGCGAAGCACATGCATTGATGGGACGCGACGCGTTCAAGTTCAAGCTCAGATTGCATCAACACGGTCCTAATACGGACTTACTTAAGTACCTACCCTCGTTCAATGTCCAGGAAAGAAAAATAACCGGGCTCCGACACCGGATGTGTCGCTCCCTCGCCAGTGAAGGAACGGGCGCTTAAATGTATCCGGATCGACCAATTCGAATTTCCAAGGCCAACAGTATTACTACAGGTCGTTAATTCAGTATTACTCGTGAAATCAAATTTACACTGGATACCACCCGTTCAACTTTGCCGGAACATAAAATCAGTTCGCAAGGTATATTTGATCCCCTCCGTCACCTCCTCTCCACTATGGTAGACCCCCCTTTGCTGAAATATCAAAACTCGTCCTTTCTTGGGTTCGATGTCGAGATACCTGTGCTTAGCGGTACCCCAGATTCGTGTCGCACCCCCCTGGACGCCTTCGTCTCCAAGATAGA